CACGTCTTCGTCAAGTCCTCGAATAAACGTTTGACTCTCTGTCCTTCCACCGACTTCATCTTTGTTGGGTAACTCGTGATGTTCAGGCATCCCAACAAACCCTCTTTTGAGCGTCCAAACGCAATTTTTATTATACAAAAGCTGTTTTTGGAAATCATAGAGTATAGTTTTACGATTTTCCCAAAATCTTGAAAAAACCCAGCACCCCACAGTGGTGGCACCTTCGTGTTTTTCCGCTGTTATAACATGCATGACGGTGCATCTCAGTCACCTTTTGATTCTTTACCTGTCCTGTTGAGCACTGTCCTGTTTTGACGCTACTTGACCCAGGCTGAGTACAAAAAACCACTTACGGTTGCTTCTGGACTTCAGCGCCACAATCTTCTCAGCCGTTTTCTTGCCTTTTCAGGACTTGCCCGAGTTCATTTACTGCTTGGACAAGGTGATTCGCAATTCGGACTACATGTCGCGTGTCAGTGGTCCCTACCGATTGCAGGACCTTACTGAAGCTCTTCTTGGTGTTGAGGGCAGTGCTGGTGGCTGTGACGCGTCGAAATTCCGCGACTTTACAACCCCACGGTCCTTGCGCCTGGCCAACGGCGTCCTCAGTTTGCTTCGAAGCACCAACGGAAGCCACATTCACTGAGCGAGTTTTTAACTTCTTCGGAATATCCATTCCTGTGGTTATGAGTGAATGTATTAAAGCCCCATATTTAAGCTGTTTTATTCTCGTAACCTTTGACAGCTGACTATGCGCTTTGTGAGAGACGGAGGGGCGACATTATCCGAGGTCACCAGTGGTGGTTCTCTCAATTTCCTCCACTTTCTTTGTCTGTGCAAGATTGCAGCAACTCACGTGGGCACATTTCTATAATTTGGTCATTCGGGGTGTTTTTGAGAGGCTCAATTTCCCTGCCGGTTCCTGCGCAGTATGGTGAGGGGTAGCGGTGGCCGCGTGAACCAGTAGATCATTGTGCATATCGCTTGGATTGGGAAACATTCCTGAGAAGAAACAGGCCTTGTTGACACTTCATGCATAGCCATCGGACGGGGTGGTGTGAGGCGACATCTTACCGATGGCTTTGCAGAATTCGGCGTGTTTTTAATCAAGGAACCGAGCATGCGGCGTGTACGTCGTCGTCGACATTGAGTAGAAGGCTGCAATTCCTTTCTTGTCTAGCACTAAGATCTGTCTACCTCAGTATTGGCAAACAAATCAGAGCGGGTATGTGCGCAGACCCGAGAAGTCGTGAAACGCGTCAATCTTGTTCGCTCAAACGCAGCTTTGGATACGTGTTTTATCACCTCAAAACTGAACATCAAGCCCCCCTTCCCCCAGTTTGTGCGAGGGTCGTGGGTGTTTCTCCGTCCGCATTCGTGCCTCTGGTTTCTCGATGTAGACGGAATTCGAAGGTGTTGATTGGTTTCGTGCCCGTTATCTGTTTGCACTTTTTGCGACGCATTTCCGTGCAGGCTTGCGTTTGTTCTGTTGACAGCGCAGGTTCTTACGTTTATGGGCACGAACTTTTGGTCAACTAATTAATGACAGATGAATTGGCCGAACAGCATAAATATCTCCCGAATTGTGATGAACGAAATGCAGAATGCGTGGAAATCCTTAAACGTGTGATGGCGCATTGAGTGAGGTGCCCGTTACGGCAAGGCCAGCGGTATGATCTGTTGTGAGGGCGATCTCGGTGAGCGGAGTACGAGTGATGTGGGAGGGAAAAAAACTTAGTTGCTGTTAAGGGGTTAAGGCCTGGCAGTGGGCTAACTACTTCACAATCCATGGTTTTTGCTAACGCACACAGCGTGTTTATAGAATACTTTAAAACAAAGCCACCAAGTGCGTGATTGATTGAAACCTGTTTGAGGTAGATTCAATTGGATGGGGTTCGGCCCAAGTCCCACTTCTGACACTTCAATACAGAGGAGCGGTTTGTATGTCAGACTCAAGTAGCAGCGATGTTGTAAGAGTGAGGAATGGGTCTCTATTTGCCAGTATTTTCACAATACAAAAGTAAATGTTTGGTTGAAATTATTTCATTCCTCACGCTTCGATGTTATCCCTCTATTTGCGTTTCCTTCCACATCTCAGCTGACGCATTTGCGAGGAGGGGATGGAGGAGGAATGGAGGCCATGATTGCGTAGTCGTCTTGGCATTCTTTGGGTACCTGGTACGCATCACCCTCTAACTCCTCGTATGCAGAGCCCTCGTCAATCTCTCCGTCGCACGTAGCATGTGAAGGTAATGGAGGAGGGAGTGGGTAGAGGGAGATTTGTTGCGGGTGAAAGGGAGGTTGTGTTTGGGGGTGGTCGCGTTGTAGAAGGTACTCGTTGTCTTCTGCTGACGGTGATGAAATGGACGGTGGAGGGAGTGGGCGCGACGTGTTAGCCGTGTACATTAGATTTGAGGCGGCAAGTAATCTTAAATCAGGCAAAATACCTTGTCAGTGTCAACAATAATAAAAGGCGTTGAGAGTCAAGTGCTTTGGCGCCGACTTCTCAGCCAGTAGTTGTGTGCCTGCATGCGAGTTAGAGACCAATGACTGTGGTGGGGATTCAGCATCCCCAAGGCTACATCTTTCAAGGTTTTCGCAGGTTTCTACTTTAAATTATTATTGTTGCTAATGCACACCAATTTTGGCATTCATATTTCCCTTTTCCTCCCTGTTGGTCCATGCACCGTGGAGCGCACGAAATTCAACCCGCGCTCAAGGTCGGTCACGTGAGCATGCACTTGGCCTTCGACAAAGACAGTGAAAGCTACCTGCGCGAGGTCTCGCATGGCATTACAGTGGCGAGGCGCTGACTAATACGTGTTTTGTCTGAGTGCCAGTTTGAGTTGATCGATAAGACGCTAAAAAGGGGGTTAGGTCAGCTGCGCTCGAAGTTATGCACCTGTGGACCGCCAACTGCAACAGGGCCTGCAGATTGTGCGAACTCGATTTTAGGCGATCCAGTGTCGTACCACGAGGGCGCATGAGCGACTACCAAACAAATTAATATGCATTTTATATGATTAGCTAATCGTGGATAAATTGACAGGAATGATCCCTCCAAGTATTGTGGCAGCTCCGCTAACGTCAGTTATTTGTGACAGAAGTTTGCAGGCACACACGTTTATGAGTCTGCTGTCTCGTTTGCGTGGATTAGTTGCCTCTTCGGTCATAGAAACTATGCTGTGCAAATAGGTGAATTCTGACGATTAATTTAGTCAGGCTCAGGAACGTATAAACACGTGGTAATAGTTTACGCATTTTTGCTACAACTCCCTCTGTAGCATGACTACTGTCAAGGAGGGAAAGCCGTCGGTTGATCAGTCAGAATGAATTCCACTGGATGCTTCACCGGTCAAAATGAGCTCAGTTACAATCACAGATTCGTCAAGTTGTTTTACCTACTTTTGGCCAAATTTAGCAGACCCCAGCAGCGACGATAGCCGTGGGCGAGGTGCAAAGGCACTTCGCATGAAGTTCGTCCCTCACACATGCAGCTCGACGAGAAGCTCAAGCGAGGCAAGCGAATGCCACTTTCGAATTGCCACCAACTTCGATTTGCTTCACTGAGGTCCATCACATTGGCCATCCAGTTCGTCATCGGCATTGGCTTCAGTGGGTAAATCGCTTGAATGCTGACTCCCACGAGCCTAATTTCGGCTTCCGAAATCAAACAGGCACAAGCAGGACCAGATGGTCTGGACGACGAACACGTTGTGTTGTAAGACAGTGATAGCGCGCGTACAGAGTAAGCACTCAACTGGACTGCCACAAACACGCATCAAGTTCATTCTTTCATTCCCTCCTCTGGAGGCGATGGTGATGCCATGCCAGTCCGAGTGTTAGCAGTTGGCTTAAGTCGGCACCACCATTCGTCGGAAAATGCACCCATGAAGATGAGGACAGGAAGCTCACAACACTCCTGTTGTGTGTGATTGGAATTTTGATCAAGTCAACTTGGCGTGGAAGTTGGCTCAAGTCACGTGCCGTTTTGTCCTCATAGCGGTAAGTCGTTTAGTCCAAACACAACTTGGAGTCGGTGTGTGTTAGGGAGATTTGGCTTTGTCAACATCACGAAAAGCGTACAATCGCAAGAATGTCAGCAAAATGGTGTCGCCCCCACAAAAGTTTCTTCTAGGCTGCCTCATCAAACTTTAGTCTGCCTTCTGTGCAGTCATTTAGACTAACGAGCAAGGACTTGGGCGTCATTTCAAAGTAAAATCCACATTACAGTCTGCGCATCGAAATGTAGACAATTTTATGTGCTTTTCTACCAACACACCATCTGGCGTGAAAAACCACTGAAAAACCTACTAAAATTACTTTTTTGGCTTTAAAGTAATCTATTATGCTTCATCTGCGTAGTAGCTTCTGCCGTGGTCTAAAGAAATTGGTCCAATTTTCTAGACTGTTTTCAAAAATTTCATAGTGACCATGTAACGAGAGATTCTTCAGAAACGTGTTTTTTGTCGTATTGCTTCTCAATCATTTTTAATCGTTGGAGATGGTTGTGCTTCTCAGGTCAGTAATTGGCAAGATGCAAGTAATACAAGAACATGCCGCGTCTGCGATGAGGCAATTCATTTTGATGAAAGGCTCGGATTATACGACGGTTTTAAGTGGAAATATCGAGCAAAAGATAAAAGAGGAAATTGTGTCCGAAATTTGCTTGTCCATTGATTTACTCTGATTGGAGGACAGTGGTTTGGTTCGAGCAATTACGGTGAAAGTGAACATGGTTTGTGTAGATCATAGAACGAGTAAACGGGCCTCTTCAAAAGCGTGCGTAACGCATTTGTTTAAAAGTAGATACAGAAAACAATGGCAAAGGTTCAACTTACGTCCCATTGGATGCTTTCCGTTGTAACCTTAAATAAATGAAAGAGTCAAATAAATGGGTTGTGGTCAGTTGGACAGCCCTATTCGCTTGTGAGATCGATTCACTTTGGTGAAAGAAACTCCAGGTGTTAAATGCTACATCGTTTTGGTAATGACAAGTTGCCACTTTCTGGGGTTTTTAATAGCTACTCTGAAACCTTAGCTATGGCAATTTTACCGAAACACAACAAGAACTACTGATTTCAGTACAAATACAACTGTCAGCTGTCTACATGATTACTTTCACAGACATATAGGATGGATATCTAGACCGGTAATGCAGGCAAGGAACACTTAAACAAACCTCAAATTTCGACGGCGCCGTAAAAATCGAAGGACAATTGCGATTCCCGTTAGAAGGAAGAAGGCTATCCCCACGACTGCGCCAATTCCAAGCAGCACCTGAAACATTAAGTCATCTAGAACCAGTGCGCAAGCCATGCACGGCCCGGGAAAGAAGAAGTGGGAAGACAAAACTCCGAACTAGCGACGTGACAGACAAACGCAACGGAGCTGGATAAATCATTTCTAAGAAGGAGTGCGATAATCCAGCTCTGTACTACATGCGGGTGGTGTGGCATAAGCACAGCGCACTGAGCGATCGATTATCAATAAAAATGTCATAAACAAAGCACCCTCCTCAGGCTAGACTAAGTCTTATAAATTAATTAAGGATGCAAAAAATATTTAGTTGAAAAGTGTACATAAAAATTGCAGAACTTACTAAATGTAGGGCGGTCGTATCTGAAATGGAAAAGACAATCTTTGTACGAATTTGTCAGTTGAAAAGACATTAATCGAATGACACTTTTGTTAATTATTTTACCGAGCTTCGATTGTTAATGAATTGTCCACTTGGGTTGCAAGCCCTTCTCACTTCCCAGGTTAAAATCTCATCAAACAAATGACTACTGCATTCTTTTTATTCCACCGAAGGTTTCAATTCTCTTCACAAACATTCGAGGTATGTTGCACACTACCTAATAAAAGCAAACACTTACATGGAGTAATTTCCCTGTGATCCGTCATGTTACAACGACTTCCGAACCAACCATCGTCACATTTACAAACCGGGAATCCTGTTCTGTTTAATAGAAAAATGGATTGTTAATGTTACAGGCACGTTTGTCTAGTAAATAGATTACAAATCAGTCCCATTTTATTCCTAAAAATTGTAACTTGTCAAAAAGGATTACTATGACGACCTTGAGGCATATCCTTAATACTGCCTTTGAACAGATTTCAATGAAAACATTTTCAAATAGTAACCTCCACACAATAGCAGTTGTGATTCCTTAAGATGTGTGACAACTGGTCGGTACCAGGTGGGGTAAATCGGGTAACTTAAGTGAAATGGGAAGATCCAGCTCCTTAAAGTGTCCTTGCACAATTTGTACTTTTTTAATGCCTTGAATCAACCGTTTGGTAAAATTACCCTTAGTCTACTCAGGATACCCAATTTCGTTATCACCTGAATACTTTACGACTGAAAAACAATAGTATCTCCGTTATCAATTCCTACGACAAGTCTATCAAGGTTGCATCTATTGATTCAGTGGTGGATTTCGGTGATATTTAAGCACCGAAATTGTATGTCCTGCCGATGGACTGAATGGGAATCGCTTGGAATGATCTCATTCCTCTGCTAAAAGCCAATCCTTTCACTTTAATTAATCGGGACAGAAGTATGAGAAGCTGCTTGGTCGCAGATGAACTGCACAGGGAGGGCATTAGGTGATAAGCGAGAGCATAAACTGAGAAAGTTAGATAATGAAGTAAAGTCTATGCTTTCAACAATAATCATGTCAAGTGTTGTTTGAATGGTTTAAGTCTGGCATCTAAACACATTATCAGATACTCGGATTCAACAACTGGCTTCACAAGGATAATAAATAACCAGAGTGGCTGTGAATTAAATTCCCTTTAGCTTGGGGTTAAAACAGAGAGATATTTCGATGTTGGATGAAAAGGAAATTGTTAATTATTTGCTGGCTGAAAAGGCATTTTAGTAGACCGTTTAAAAATAATTGGCGCGAACGAAGATGAATGAAGGTGAATTCAAATTTTCAAAAGGTCTATTAATGATGCTACCACACTGTTTAACTGCCGTCCAAATGCACTTCTAAACTTTTGTTTTATGTTTACCAACGTGATTCTACATCGACACTTGAGCGAAGAGGAGTTCACGACCACGTGAGATCTAGGCAGTGCCGGCTTAACAGCACTATGGGCTGTAGAGTCAGTTGGCGAGGAAGATGTGTGAGAAGCAGTCAGAGCAACAAAGCACGATGACAGGTGAGCTTATCAGTTAAGTTTTCGACACAGTTCTGCGAAGGATAAGATCTTGTTGTCGTCGAGGTCACCAATTGTTGTGGGCCCCAGCATGTGGTCATGAACCACGCCGGGGCCACAGAATTAACCCTGGCCCGATTAAGCTCGCCTGATGCCCGCGATGAAGATAAAGACCGGAGAGGACGGGACACAATCGTTTACTTCAGAGCTCTGGTTCTTGTGTGGGGATTGCGCGTGTGTATGTATACCTCGGATGTATGAGTCAGAGATGCGTTAACAAATACTCGTGTAAATGAAAGGGGGTTGAGGAGTCGATTTGCTGGCGCCATGCTGCGAAAAGGAGAACCCTGTGTCGGAGGCTGAGCGATCGGATTAAGGTATTGACTAAACACGATTCACAACAATCGACTACAGTTTGCTGGGGCATGAATAGTCCTGATTCGAAGCAGAAGTTCGTTATCACTAGGTTGTATTTATGAAGCAAACTTCAAGACTTTGCAGATCAACTGTCACAATGTAAAAGGCACGTTTAATTTCTTTCCTTACGTTTTGACTACATGTATCGCAGGTTCAAGAGAGGGTCTGAGCCTAGTGAATTGCTTATATTTGAAATACTCACGGGGGAATCTCACAGGTGCCGTGTCCACAGTCAACTAGGCATATTTGAGCTCCGCTTTTGGTGTCGCAGTCCCACTGCAGTGGTTTCGGTTGGCACAGCACCTCACAACGCGGTCCGTAAAACGTTGGCAAACATCTGAACTCAAAACCCAATGTTAACCTAAAAAGGCAAACCTGGTGTGCAAGATGTCCACTAAAAAGAGCCCTTTAAGAATATCACGGATAAAAATTGTTATTTTAGATGGCACAGCTAACCGGCATTTTTCAAAAGTGTAAAGATAACAACTTTTCCTAGTACAAAAATGTTTAGCTGTTATATAAAAGTTACTTTTTAGAAGACATGAAGACGCCTTGTTTGTACGTGGAATTATATGAAAATATGATAAATTAAAATTTGGGAGATGGTAGGTTCCATCTCTTCTAGGAGTGTGAAGAGACTCATGCAAGAGCCTGTAGTTGGTAGAGATCTAATTCATGCCGTGAGTTGGGACATGGCTTAAAGGCAACTGCGTCGCATTCCATCACAGTCCAGTGCCACCTAATCTTTGTTGTTGTGTCAGGGCCTTTGTTAACGCCAGCCGACTCCCGGAAGAATAGCAGACAATTGGGTTTGAGGGGTCCAGCGCAGAGGACATCGAATAAGAGGAGATGCGTGTATTTTGGGCTTAGATTAGTTTCTTTCTTTAAGCGGTGGTTAGAGGACATTTGTGTCTTGCTGGAAGAAGGCAAACAAAACCTACTTCACATGTTTTCCTAGTTGAAGTCTTTGCTTTGTCGTGCCGTTTAGTTGGACTTTGTACTCCATGTCTTCTATCAGCGTGGATCCCTTTGGGTCGATGTCATCGACGACAACATGAAATTCCACCTCGATCTAACGAAAACCCAGCTTAGTGATTGGACCGTTTAAGAGAGTGTGTGTACGCGCGCAAAGAGTGTTATGGTGTTTATTTACAAATAACTGCAAAAATGCTGTACAGAGGAAAGTAGCTTGTCAAAATAAACCATGGGGAAACGGTTTTGATTAAAATTAGGACACCCTCATTTATTTTCGATTTAGTTTACAAATTAACGTTTCCTTTTAAGCATCTTTTTAAATAGATGTTAAATGGAGAGCAATAGGCAGTGGTACCTTGCATAAAATGAGGTGCTTTGTGCACAAAAAGCTAGTTTATACGTCGTTGATAAAACCCTCCCGAACCATGGTCTAAGGGCACACTTCCTCAACCAAGACTTTCACTGAGTTTTTGCCCAAAATCTAGGTTTTTTGATCTCTACAAGGTTTTTTCAATGCGCACAAAAAATGCTAAAAATTGCAACAGACTGCCACAATCTGTCATGGACTGAGTGGTATGGCCGTGCTTGGTCCCTACGGCGGTGGTCAAAAGGAAGCCTGATAGATCATCGCATTCACGCACAATTATTATACATTACAACAGTACCACTTTTAAACTCTGCTTTTAAAAGAGAAATCATCGTAGAGGTTAAAAATAGTACTGCGGTAATGCAACACTATTCTGTTATTTGCAAAAACCGAGACCCTCTGGATGAGGCAGGACAATGGTTTGCGAACCGCCGGTTGCAAAAAATAATGATAAATAACATACCGGCAATGAGCTCAGCTGTTTCTTCATGTAGTAAACGGAGCGAAGTCGTCTTGTATTAATGTGCGGTTGCGTCTGATCGGAGATAATCGGTTCGGTGTAATTTCTGAAGGTTACGATTGGATTTAAGACTTTTTCATTCTGTGAAATTAATGCTGAATCATTTTCGTCAGAAAAATTTGCAAAGAATTTATTAAAATGACAAAGTCCAGCGCCTGCAAAATTGAGTTTCAAAAAATCCAGATGGTTGTCTGTGTTTACTACTGTCAATGGTAGGTCAGTCCCCGGGATTAAGCACTTTCATTTGGTTTGACAAATTTCGTTGAATGTAAAGCATTCACAAGTGCTCACAAGTCAGGACACTTAAGCAGCTTAGAAGAAGTTTAGAAATTTTAAGGCAAAAATGATAATGAAAAATGCTGCATGAGTGGACAGAGTACTGTCCATATTACGTGGCGAATAGGACCACGTAATACAGCCTCACGATGTGCCGAGGTGAGGAGTCTGACCAGGCGATGAGAATGAGGGCGTCGTGAAACGGGTTGCTGCAGTCTGCGACACACGGCCCCCAGTTCGGCTACGGAAAACTATTTGCTCTCACACACACACTTCGGTTCATGTACCTCCGCCGCTATTTGTTGAACTTGTCTGACCATTTAATACCTGTACATTAACTGATTCACCCACACTGCTGCGAGCGTACGCATTCTTAGGACACAAAGAGGTTGGGTCAGCCAGAAAACAGTTATCTCTGCTCTTTTTCTTCTTCTTTTTGTCTTCCCTGGTATCTAAGTCACGTAAAGGGGCTGAATGCAACCCAGAAGCCCCAGTGTGGTAAATGACGACATGCCGTGACCCTCAACAATGGTTTTCCAGTTTAGCATAATTTTGAGGCGCTGTCATTCACACAGTCTGGTTTAAAATGCAGCGCTGTTTAAAATAGCGTTCTATGAATAGAAACAATTACGTAAGTATAGAGGGTTACTCTCCCTAAAAACGTAACATTTGTAAGTAGTTTGTTTATTACCTCGTGAGTAAGGCATGCACATGGTAGCATCTACAAAGCACTGACCTGAGAAAACTACATGGTCTGCATCATCTGAGTTGACAATGATTAGGCTTGTTTATTCACACAAAAAAAATTAAAACTATGGTTTTCATCTAAACCTGACGGTACATTTATAAGCGTCGTTGTAGATTAAACTAGCGTGATCTCTGCAATAGTTGCAAAGTATACGTTGTAAAAATTAGTCATTTGCGATATCGTGACAATTACTGAACGGCAGCTCTTTGATTTGGCATTTTAACTATTAATGAAGTAAATATGTGACAGATCTGGGTCATTCTCTAGACCTCAAATACTAATCAAGTATCTGTACGAAATGCAAATTTTTTTAAAGCAGGATAAATAAATTTATCGATTTGTTGTAGTTACAGGGGAGGATCAGATTTTGGAAGCGATAGTTAATTCATTAATATCGAAGCTAAATTAGTAGGAAGTAGTAAGCAAAACAAAGTTTTGTAACGCAATTTTTCAAATTAATTCTGTACAAAAATTAGCCCAAGCAAAAACATTTTATATCTATTAAAATGTAAGAAGGGTATTCAATTGTATCACACATATTCTCAAAGTAAATGTCTAACAATGCATAAGAGTTACCCAACAAAGCAATAAAGAATCAACTAATAAGATAGTTGTGTGTTTTTTTTCGGGTGACGCCAAAAATTGTAGGACTTTCCTTGCGCTAAGTTAAGTGAGAGACTTTGGTGTTGTTAGTGAAGAAGCAAAAATTTCACCAAGGTAGCTTAATTTATTTAAACAGAATACAAGATTTATGAAACACCCTTAGTTGCTCAATTAGTCCACAGACAGAACAGTCAGGTTTTTCATTGCTATTTCGTATGCACGGCACCAAAATTTCATTGAACTTAGAGTTTTACCGCCTTCATATGTTAGATGTCTTGCTGTTACACGAATTAGGTGACTGGGAACATACTGGACCTTTGTACACTTCAAACACTCGCACATTTTCAAATTTCGGGGATATAACTTGCAAATTTGAGAGTCCCATTTTGAAAGTAAAGATGCATATTCGGATTTTTGGTTTTCCCAACTGATTACACATCCAAAAATTAAATAACATTTTATTACAATTAGTTGTGAAATAAATTAAGTGGTGACTAGTTGAATTAGAAACTTGCATCTGTGTTGCTACACAATTTGACTAATGTTTTGAGTTGGTAGTCGTGGCCAATATTTTGGTATTTATTTCAACTTCCCGATTTATACCGAGGTTACCCGTTGATATCAAGTACAATGTTAGGATTGCATTTCAGGTAGTTTAAAATTAACAACTCATTTTCACTGGTCCACTATATTCATAAAGGTAGTGTTTAATGCGTAACCGATGCAGATCGCTGTTAAATATCACGACTGGACATGTAGGGTTAACTCACGCGCTCTGATTTGCCATCCACACTCCGGTAACATCAATCGAAAACTGCGGGTCACAGGAGTCAAGGAAAGGAAGGAAGCTAAAGTCACAAGCTCTCCCATGGTGAGTGCGGTCATCAAAATTCTCATAGTCGGTAAGCTCAATAATAACCTCAACACGAGTCTAAAATTTGCCAAAAGTAATGCACAAAATACGTTAGTGGGTAAAGCGTTGTCTATTTTCATAGTTTAGGTAATAAGTGAGAGCTTCTAACGCTTATGTTCACTTGAAACCAGACTTTTGACTTTCGTGCATCACCTTAAAAAGGTCTTTTTGTGGCTTAAAATGGAATAGCAATGACGCAAACTTGATTATTGATGTGCATTAATTAATTGGGCAATTAGTTGTCTATTGTGTTTATCAGTAGTGACACATGTGTGAGCGACTTGTTAGCAGTTAATATACAGTAATTTAACATCTCTTATTTGAAATCTCCTTAAAGATTCTGCGAATGCTAAGCTCAGGATAGTAAAATAAGCTATAAATGTTTCAAAAGAAATAGATAATAGCGGATCGACAACTAGAAGTCCTTCCAGATCTTTCCACGATCAGTTTGTGAACACATTCGTGTGAAACCAGTGATAGTGGTTAACCGTCCTAGATCTTAAAACAACACCGGCCTTTCCGGTCGGCCAGTCTAAATGGTCGGGTCTGCGAGACATTCTGCTTTGACTTGCGCGCTTGCTAATTGCAGAAAGTTTATCAATTTCAAATAACTCTGAAGAAAGATCTGGTACACTGCAGATTTATCGCAATTTGTGAACAGAATGAAGGGCTCCTGAAAATCAACTTTTATTCACTCGATTTTAGTGACGAAAACGTGGAACTAGCACTGTTGAGGTAATTTAGTAGAATAAACCATATCCGTAAAGTGACGGGTTTCAAAAAATCACATTACCTTCGAATGCTTGACAAATACGGCTCGGTTTTAAAATGCGAGGGAATAAAGAAAAGGCGAATTTCAGAAAGGAATTGACTTGTACCAGCGAAATGTGATTTCTGAGGACATTTACGTTGTGTAAAACATAAATGTCAAACAGTCTAGAGGCACTTGGAAAAATGGGACTAGGATACAAAAATACTCTTATATTCCAATCAATGCACACGCACCTCAGTCACTGCTTCCGAAAGGGAAATGATCACTACGGTGAGCAGCGAACCCCTCCACATGCTTGGCTGTGCCATGCGCACAGGTTCAGTGTCCTGTTAAGCAATACCTGGGCTGATAGCGGAAGGTTGTTTACACAAACACAAACCAGGATAGGGTCTGTGTTGCGTTCGTGTGCGCGCGTGCGCGCACACTGTGTCGGTTTTCAGGAATCGATTGTTTATAGACGTGGAGTGAACCGAAGCTGCCATAGCATTGATACCAATTCGCACGTTTTCTTGTAGATTCATGACACTAGAATTTAAAACCCCAACTCGTCCACTCCTTGACCACAGTAAACAGATGATAGCTTGCTTACAAAGTTATATCATTTCATCTTCGTACATTAAGGCTGTCACAACGCAACGTCTTTTTTCAGTAAAATTTTACTTAAGGATGAATTAAGCAAAAAACGAACGCTTCGACTTGGCAGGTAAGGTAGATTTTAAAAGGCAGGTACTAAAATAAAAAGTGATGCATGTGTTTATAAAATGTTACACGAACACTGGATAAATCACTTGCAGCTTAAGTTAATGAAATGTTCCTTAAAGATATTAATTAGGAAGATAATACGTAAAAGTCTTTATAAAAGACCAAGCAGATATAGAATGATGAACAAAGTGTTCATGTGCTCATCTAACACACATGTCACGGAAACGATGATTGGCTTTTGGGGATTTCGACACAAGAAAAAAGTAGAACTAACCGTATTTTTAATTCCCGTTAATGTCGAAGAGCGTAGACGACGAGAAATTCCTTAATTCTAGAAACACTTTAGTTGGTACAACAGTTTGTTGACGTTTTAGCAGTTATATATTCAGCATTTTAAATTGTTTACATTACGATGCGCAGACCGTAATGTGGATTTTACTTTGAAATGACGCCCAAGTCCTTGCTCGTTAATCTAAATGACTGCACAGAAGGCAGGCTAAAGTTTGATGAGGCAGTCAAGAAGAAACTTTTGTGAGGACGACACCATTTTGCTGACATTCTTGCGATTGTACGCTCTTCGTGATGTTGACAAAGCCAAATCTCTCTAACACACGCCAACTTCAAGTTGTGTTTGGACGAAACGACTTACCGCTATGAGGACAAAACGGCACGTGACTTGAGCCAACTTCCACGCAAAGTTGAATTTCACAAAATTCCAAGCACACACAACAGGAGAATTGTGGGCTTCCTGCCTTCATCTTCTTGGGTGCTTTTTCCGACGAATAGTGGTGCCGACTTAGGCCAACTGCAAAACCCTCGGACTGGCATGGCATCACCATCGCCTCCAGAGGAGGGAATGAAAGAATGAACTTGATGCGTGTTTGTGGCAGTCCAGTTGAGTGCTTACTCTGTACGCGCGCTATCACTGCCTTACAACGCAACGTGTTCGTCGGCCAGACCATCTGGTCCTGCTTGTGCCTGTTTGATTTCGGAAGCCGAAATTAGCCTCATGGCAGTCAGCATTCAAGCTATTCACCCACTGAAGCCAATGTCGATGACGAACTGGCTGGCCAATGTGATGGACCTCAGTGAAACCAACCCAAGTAGGTGGCAATTCGAAAGTGGCATTCGCTTGCCTCGCTTGAGCTTCTGACAGTTTTCAAATCAAAACAGTGTGTCGTGAATCCTGTTTATTCAACCCCCTAGTCCGTTCGCTTCACCTCCGACACAGGGTTCCCCTTGTCGCAGCATGTCGTCAGCCGCTCGATTCCTCAACTCCACCTTCATTAGCACGAATAGTTATCTTGGATTATCCCCACACCTAGGTCTCGATGTTAGCCCATGCATAACTCATACATCCGAGCTATAAATACACACGCACAAACCCCACACACGACACAGCGTGCTTGAGCACTTTTTTTTCATCGCGGGCATCAGGCAAGCTTAATCGGGTCAGGGTTAACGTCAGTGGCCCAGGCGTTGTTCAAGACCACATGCTGGGGCCCACAACAGTGTTTTCCGATGCAGGAGTTTGTTATCCTCTGGATTTGACCTCTTTTTTCTTTGTGCCCATTTAGTCACCACGTCTGACCTCGTATAATCGCAAATACACTGATCACAAAAATTAAATTTGCTCGGGAATGCGTACATATGCCTGTTAGGATTACCGTGACATAGATGCGAAACCCCAGGTATTATAAATCGATCCCTCGTTAGCACCCTAGCGGCCTTCCAACACCAATACGAAGGCAAGATCTGGTGCAGAGAGATTTCACTGTCCGTCCCGAAGGCCGAGTACATGCTCACACGCGATCGCTCGTGGGCTACCTTGAATACGGGTGGGAGTAGCAGTACAAACAAAGTGGAAATGCATGGGAAGTTGAGGTCCGATAAGGGGACATGGGTTAGCATCCGTAAACACGAACGATATTAAAAAATAGCAAATTATGGAAATCTTGAGAGACAACGTTTTAGGGATGCTGAATCCCAAGTGTGCGGTTTTGGACGGTTTATAAAAAACACAATCCCTGAAGAGATAAGATTCAGTTCGTTGAGGGCCAGAAGAATCTCAACATCCTATCCTCCTGGCTACCTCAATTGCGAATGAAGTTCTTTACAACCAATCACAACATTCCCAAAAGTTGAATCAAATTGCGAGATGAGTGTGGCATAATTAATTTCCCTTTTTCCAAAACAGTAAATTTTAACATGAGTCATCGCAAACGTTAATTACCGTCTTTTTGAACATTTCTCCAATGCCAATTATAAAGTATTCTGTAACGATAGAAAAGGCTGAATAATCTGCCTGTCACATTTCCAATCATTTCTCAAGGGCCTCTGTTTCAACACGCTACTACTTACGAATAGGTGTTTTATCCGTGAAGCAGCGGTTCTCAGATTAATATGCCTTAAGGTGACATCTGTAGAGCCACCTTGTTCAAACCTAATCTGCACAATTTATGGTCCTTATTCTTCCGCTTGCAAACGGGTCAGCCGTTATTTTCAATTAAGTTTTAATTTGAGTCAATTAGGCAAAATCAAGACGCGACGTAAAATGCTATAGGATGGCAAAGTAAGTGAAATACTTTCTGAGTACAAAATAAGCACTATTTTTTTGTGGAAATCTGGATGCCATTGAAGAACCTTGGGTAGAAACTTTTTAAATCTGCTGATCAAGATCGAAAATAATTTGTCAATAAAGTGACTTGTATCACACAAAAGTGCAAAGCATGTAACGGGTTTTGCAAATGAATTCCTACAGATTTTAACATACCGAAATATGAATGTCTTACTTGATACTTAATTTGCACTTAACCATAACGAACAACTTGAATTAAACTGGGCACCATTAATCGATAATTCGCTCTCTAGCGACACTTATGACTAGGCTTGTAGTGGCAACTCCCGCATGATTCTTACATTGATTTCTGTTCACAGGCCCTTGAACAGCGCGTACACACACACGCACACGCACACACACACACACACACACACACACGCTTGCTCGTCTCTCTCGCGCTCACTCTACTGTGCCGCTCATTGTCTGCCTCCTACATGAGGTACGGATGGTAAATTTAGCTTGGTTGTATGGTAGTGTAGGGACCTAAATTAGCACTACCACGAAACCCTATGGATAACCGAGAAAAGGGCAGGCGGAGTCGAAAGGGAACACGACCGTTTTTTCGCGTCACGCCAGTCAAGTCGAGTAAAATCTGTGACGCGCGCCATTCGACCCACGCACGCCGGTCTGGCCTGTTCTTTGTCCTCGTCCGCTCTTACCGCACCTTCGCCTTCCTCAAGGCACGCCCGCGAGTCCGAGGGCAACACCAACCCTCCTCGCGGCCATCCCTTTACCCACTCGAACTCTCCCTAAGCTCTAGCCCTCTGAGTTTGTATGCGGTTGTATGGAATACATCCGGTTCTTCCAGCTATTCTTCTATCGTGTGCCTGGTAGCTAACCATGATGGTGTGGCTATCTAAGAGGGACGGGCTACCAGTTATCTCCCTATTTAGGTCACCGCTCCGTAGGCGCGCTACAAATCTAGCAAACTACTGTGTGCGTATCGATACGCATGCGTTACAGGCGACTGCTAAGAAAAAATAATAACAAGGGAGGTGAATCATTAGTGCAGTCGGTCAAGCATACATGCAGCACTCGCGCACGCGGTGGCTGTCTGTCCACTGCAGTGCATTCACGAAAAAATCGATTGATTTGCGTTCGCTCACGAATGCTAACTGTGCTGGCTTGCTAGTCGCCACAGTAGTAATACAGTATGTGAACGTTCAATTCATCTCACGCTTGTTTCAATAACTAAGTTGAAATTTGATGTCGTATCATGACGTCCAAGGCACAGCTGCGATCGTTAATGCCGAAGTGAACTATATCCACCGGCTCAGATTTGTTCACTGAATTAAATTTAAAGCTAGTACGAGTCTTTCTGAAGTGACATATGAGATCATAATAGTCGATATAACAACAGAATTTAACTAACAAGCGTTTCACACATGATATTAGTGCCTCCTTTCTGGAATAAATTTATTGTGAACCAACTTATTGCTACGATTTTCTTATAGGCTGACCGGAAAAAACTTCCTCTTAATTGTTTTTGAGAGTGTGTATTTCATTTGAAAGGTGGAGAGCTGTACAAAATCAGGAGTAATATGTAATAATCACTAGAAGTAAGTCTTCGCGCTCAAACGGAAGGAAGAGGCGCACATATTTAACTTGTCTGCCAGTGTGAACCTTGGCCTTGGGTGGAATTCCATTGAATCATACCTCACTCCTATATGATTGGTCAATCGCTCCAACTCGTTGATTGGTTTACCAACGACTGACCAATCATAGAAATGTGGTGAAGGTGAATACTTGCGGGGCTGCCAGGTTTGGCTAGGCGTAGAGCAAGTGTGCTGAGTCACGTGCCGTGGGGATCCCAATGCAGACATTTCTTCGTGGATGCTGTCTGGCGATTGTATAGCCGTGTTAGAACACCAGCACCTGTTTGGATAAGGCCTTGGTAAGTGATAAGGGTCCTCACTTTCCGTACGTTGAGAAAGCGAATTGCCCCGTTTTGCATAATTCGGTCTTCCAAATGACCTCATTTCATTTTGAGTCTGCGGTGGTTCAAAATACTCGTTACTTATATTAGTAAAGTAGAAACATTACACAGGGAATAAATACTTACACCATAAGGAATCATGGAGCTCTCAAAAATGTTGACCGATTCGGTGGAAACACCAGCCTGCGCGTTGCCATTATGATAAGGCGCATTTAGAGGCGTCCCATTGGAAGTGTTGGAAGTTGATTTAGAAAAAATAGAGGGATAGGAGACTTTGAGTTTGGAGGAATTTGCGAATTCGAGTGGACGGGTTGAGCAGGTGGGACACCGGGAGAGTTTAGAAATCGGGCCACCGGGTGGCTCAGGGCTAGTAAAAAACAAGAGAGTTACGGCACTGATTGCAATGTGTGAATGTATCAAGAACTATGGAAACAAAATTAGTCTTTGATAGTTGCAAAATCCATAACAGTATACTTCTTCGAGCACAATTAATAGTACTGGCTGTGAGAATTACTTAGTCCCTGTTTTAAAGCAGGTAGATAAAATGGATGCTGCTGCAGGCTACGCCAAAACCGCGAGCACCCGAGAACAGAGGGCAACCGCGTGACGTGGCGTGGCGGCGACGGGGCGGAGACGGGCGTTCACCCACCCGTCGACCACGCGGTGCCGCCGTGTCCGCGCGTGAACCGCGACCAATGAAAGGTGGGTGTGAGTCATAACCACCAGTCAACCTGCGGTGAACCTGTTCGGACAGGCCGCCGTCGCGCATGTCGCTGACTGTCCACCACGTCAGTTCGGTAACCTTAACAATCCGGTGGTATGCGTACTTAGGCACATTTTAACTGATCATGTTGCAAAATTAGTGGAAAGAGCCTGAAACCAGTTTTAGCACGATCAAAACAGACAGGAAATTTAGCAAAACAACAAAAAGCCTGTAGCCTCTTTGCTCGGGTAGCGAGCATGAAGTATACTCATAGTAAAGTGACATAAAGGATGGTTCGGTTCCCATGATCATTCCCGTGCTTGTTTTGAATGACTTCTGTGAGCGACGTAATTTTTCTTCAAACTCCTACTTGGAAGGCGAGTTCAGGACTAATTTGCAACGTAGGGTTTAAAGTAAGCATTTATTTTTACTTCCCTAAAGGTGCTGAGTGCTTTGCAGTGTTACAACTGGCTTTAAAATTCAGTTCTGGTGTTTTTCACTGGAAGTTTACCAACATTCTAGTCAAACTACCGGATTTAGTGATCACCAACTGGAAACCATCTCATTCTGGTCATCGTAGAGAGACTGCAGGGAGGAACTCGACTTAAAAGTGTTCACTAAGCATTGAATTGCTATCTTCTAATTTCCTATCAAGTGCAACGAAATTGCCTATTTATTAAAATGAGTCGAAACTTGTGATTGCTACCGGTGGCATCGGTAAAAAAGATTATGGTAGGATCTTGGTGAACCGCCACCTGAATCTGAACCGTGTACTTTAAACCTAAACTATGGATCGAAGCTATTAGTAACGATGTTTGCCGTCACTAAATGATGTAACTGTGCGAAATAATAGCAAAATAGAAAAAAAATTGCTACTTGCATCTGGCTCAGTTTGTTTTTAGTAAAGGACCAAATGTTCGATGGACACGAAATCAGGAAATTGCTAACACAAAACAGTCTTCGGACAAGAGGGAAGATAAATTATTTAGGGGATATTTTTCGTTTAAAATACGGTCTATATTTACACTAGAAAACCTAATTTCCATTATTGACAATGCCTTACGAATAAGGAGGATCTGTGGCAAAATTAATTGATGGCTGGAAATTCCAGTGCATTAAGCTTGACACCCAATCAATCAATCGATCAACTCAAACGAAATGTGCACCTTGAGAATGTGGGTTCATGCGAATGCACTTCTCCATTTAAGCTGACTGATCGATTCAGCGAGGAACAGGAGGTACCTCCATTGGACTGCCGGTGGGTAACGAGTGGGGTGGAGGGGAGACGCGGCCTGTCGCCTTCGTGGATCGCCCGGCGATGCTGTGAAGGCGCAGACGCCTCGGTCGAGGTGCGCCGACACTTTCGTCGCGACCACGACGTCTGCAGCGCCTCTTTTGGTTGTTCACTTTCAGTATAAAGGCGTATCAGCTGAGGTAAGGTCAATGATACGTAACTGTCAGGTTTCACAGGGGTAGAAGCTGTGGTCAGGCAAGTTTGCCAAAACGTGTGGTAGTGCTGTTTAACAAATTCACGACACAAGGGATGATGTGCAATAACTGATCCTGACTCATTATGTTTTTCTCTTATTACAAGTTTCATTATTTCCCCAATTTAGTGCTTTGACAGTCTCTTTTTTCTACTAGTGTCATAGAAGCATGTATTTAAGCGAGCGTTGTTTAACGCAGAGAGCATCTGAAATTTCATCTTGACAAAGGGAAACATGACGCACATTTTGTACTTAAATGTTCATGTGTCCACTATCTAGATCAGTTTCACACACCCGATCACAAACAACCTTGACCATCACATCGGCCAAGTACTTCCGATGCGCACTAACTAAGTCACGATGGCACTACCGTATTGCGTTGTTCAGCATCACAGTCCTCGCAATTTTTTCCCAATTTCCTTGATCTCAGGGTGTCCATTGAACGCATCATAGTCGCCTTGAGCCTCTTCTCTTGGGCGGCGCTGTCCACGCTTTTCCAAGTAATAAGACCGTTGGGTTTTGCGGGGTCCGCCTCAAAAAGGGATGCCGGCTGTCCGTTGTTTGCTTTGGCGTGCTTTTGAGCACCTGCCAGTGACTTGGCATTTAGTGAAAACAGACTCCCAGTGAGGGTCTTGACGGAGAACCAGCCTCGCAAGGTGGAACGCCACTGCACCGGCGTTGGGCTGTGACCGCGCGCAGCCTCCGCCAGAGAGAGCTCTCGGGGGACACTCCTAGCGCGCCACCTCGAATGGACCCGCTGCTGAAAGTGGAGGCCACGTGTGATAAGAAATACCTTCGTGTAGTAGGAACGACGGCTTGAAGTACAGGTAATACAAGGCAGTGGAGACATACCCTTGATTTTTTCGAAAAATCCAGAACTCCAGTGGAGTATTTGCGTTGCTTGTCGTGTGCCTGTACAATGTTTTGTAAACTGCCATAGACGAGATTGCGCAAAGCCTTCGGTGAAAGAGAATTCGTACCTTCTTTGGGCGCGAGGGACCTTTTTGATTCAGGAATGAGACCTGTAAATGGATTCCGTGTAGAAGTGTTAAAAGGGAGGCATAATTTAGCTTTTGGATTAGTTTAAGTTTGCTTCCAAAAATGACTAGTGTGCCTTTTGTAATCTACTTCCTAAGAGGACTCGAGGTAATTTGGAGATTTAGCTGTTTAGATGTCTATCAAATCGGTCAGCGTGGGAACGGTTCGAGCGACAAAACAGTTCCCACAATGCAACGTCCTTGGTTGGCAGCTTACACTCAAAATAACCTAACAATCTATTTGATTTTCCCAAGCTCGAAGATGTCTGTTGAGTTTAATTTTTGTGTTACAAGTTCGTTATGAATGCTTTTTCTTTACAAAAAAATTGAGTCTTCTACTAAATTGGGTTCCTGTTGAACCCAACACCCATACCACAGCAAGTCACAGACGCCTTTCAAACACGATAAGACTCTCTACGACAGACCTCGATGCATAACCGCATTGTAATCATTTGTACAAATTAACAACTTATTTTTTGGTTGCAACTACACCAACAATTTTCGATAATGAAGTGTTTATTCGAAAACGTAAGAGTGACAGCTAGTGTCAACCTGTTATCAGAAATTGAATTCTATCAGGGTCTACAACCTCTGCGATTAAAAGTATGGCTACTTGCTTAATAAGGTTTTGGCGAATTACTCACTTTATAAGTAATTTATTAAACAAATGCCTTAAGGGTTGGTGCTAAGCCAATAACCCTGAGCCATTTCCACGAATGTCTCATCTATAATTTACAACCAATGACACAAAGGCACAATAGTCAAGTCAAAGCATCCAATAACTAAGAATGTGCGAAGCGCTGATCCACAAACCCAAGCCTGTACGTTGTTTAAACTAGCGGTACAATCGATGTTAGCAGTGGCCCCAGACAATTGGGCTGTAGCTGCATGACGCGCCACTTTCACACGCGAGGTCATCTGTTTGTAGTGGCTTGTGGTCTAAGCACTACCTTACAACCCTCTAGTTAACAGCCCGTAACAACCCGAGAATGGAGAGAAGAGAGGTGACAGAGGACATGACCGTTTATTAGCGTCACGCCAGCCAAGTGTGTCTTAGCGTGCGGATGAGTGAGCGGATGACAGGCGTCTAATACAGTAACCAATGAAAAGGGAATGAGTCATTGTCACCGTCAGGTCAGTAAGCAGGGTTCATTCAGGCGCGATCGCTGTTAATCCGCCACATGTTTGTATGCTGAGGTAGTTGAAAAATGTTCTTACCAGTGCCTCTACTTGAAGCATACTTTGTAACGACTATTTTGTGTCTTGACTCACAAATTAGGTGGCATGATTGTCATTGCACATCTCATTCCTTGTCGTTTTAATAAATGTACTTTCCATCGTTCAAAATTTTTTTTATTTTCGCTTGATTTTGAAATTTTTGTCAAGTAGATGCCGCCCACTACTAAAAACTACGCCAACATGGACTTGTAATCGCTCCAGTGATAAATTTGTCGGATAATGCAGATTCCTTTTGGGCCCGATTAATTGCAGCACCTTTACATCCCCAAATCCAATGACTAAAACCTCATACCATCGACTGCGCCGTTTCGGACAGCTGGTACGTTGTACGTTTCCTCGTCATTTTGTCAAGTGCATTTTACCGCCTACACAAACCTGCTTAGTTTACCAAACAATTAACTGATCGTTTACTCGTTTGGGTGTTGCAGTCACGTTGGCAACACTCGGATTTGGCACTAGTGAAGCGACTCTTACAATCCCGGTACTGATGGCCTGCTTTACGGTTCGCGTTTATCTCACGCACTTTAAGTACTTTTGGCCTTAAGTCCAAAACAGGAGTTTTGATTAAAAGCTGAGTAAATTTCCCCTACTTACAGTTCGCTTCCTTGGTGGTATCTATTTTCGTGGTTTGGTGCTTACGTTTGAATGGGAAGCCAATCGGCAAATAGCCATACTTCACAACCATTAACTCTAACTCCGACAAAGGTGCCTTTTTGCTTATTGAGACTACTATGAATTTGGAAGGAAAATCACAGGTTCAAAGTGAGTTTTGAGCAGGCATTTCTTAACCGTGTCATTAAAATGAATGACAAGCAGAGTATTCACAGCACGCTCGTTCACACAAAAAATAAATTTCACTAAGAGACGTAATATTAACTTCCTCAATTGTGAGTTTGTACAAAAGGGAAATTAGCGCTTCTAGGTTGAAGTGTGGACAGGTTTTGGTGGCCTTCGAAATTAAACCCGCTTCCACGATTGAGGCTAGGGAATTAGGACGCAGCGATCAAGAAGCCTTCAAACTTAGGCCCATTTACCTCGCTGTTTTACCAAATCATTCTCTAACCAGTTGTCACAGTGAATGCTACCATAAAACAGGAACATAAATATTTTTAAACCTTAAGTGTGTTTTGCCAGATGCTGTCAAGATGAATGATGCCCTCGCCATATCACTCAGCATATTTGTTTTTGTAAATGACTAATATGCAGGTGACGCAGTCTAGTAACTGTTTAGACAGGCGCAATTCCAGCTTACCTGAGGTGTTTTCGCCTTCCCCCACAGCTGTGGCGGCTAGCAACTCCAAGTGGATTCGACAGCACTCAAGGGCGTCTACTGCCTCGTCGTAGGCCCTTCTTATTTCCCCACAACCATCGGACCAAACACCAGTAATTTCCTTTAAAAATTACAAAAAATTGTCTGTTAGGCAGAATTCTATTTTTTTACAGCCATCGCTATGTGTACTTTTTGCACAATTTTCTGTTGATTATGTGTAAATCTACTTGCAGATTAGCCTTTGGCCAAATTTCTAAAAGGGGTTAAGTAGAAACCAATTTGCTAATGGAAACGTCCGTTTTACATGACTCTCTATTGAAGGTGAAGTATGAAACTACTGGGAATCCTGAAGAATACTGCGGAGACCAAAGCTGTCACTGACGCTTCCGCTCATCCACTCTCAAGACGAAGACGTCTTTTTGTGTTAAGGATTGTACACTGAGTTTGCGTATGCACTTGTCGAAGAATACACGTCAATATAGAATGAGAACCGCATTCGTGGCCAGCGTAATGTGGGCAAATCTCGGGAAGAGCATTGCAGACAACGCCAGTGGAAATTTCTCAGACGTTTTGGGCCATAAAGCGATTGTGGGTGAGTCAACTGACCTTTTTGGTCAGTGTATGTTGGAACACTATCCTACGTTACCGCCAGTTCCAAAATTTTAAAATGCTTTAGGCCAATTCTGTGCTTTGGCCTCTCGATCGTGATTAGGAATGTTTAAATTAAACTAAATTAGATTACGCGAATACTAACTTAAGGTAAACAGGTATTGCCAGAATTATGGTTATGAAATTAGCAGCCAATTTGTAAATAATGATACTCTTGAGGAAAATCACATACACGAGTGGAACAATCTTAACGGGAGTGTTATTCAGACTTCTAACTACTGATTGACGCCAAATTGTATGAGGCAGTTGTATCTCGTGGGACAAACCTTTCTTGTGCTAGCAACCCAAGCGTTGGATTTTGAGCAGACATCAAAAGTTTTGCCTGTGAAACGCCTTAAAGTATTTCACAACTTTTAAGTATCAGGAAAATAAGTTTACTGCTGGATTTATTCGATTCATTTTGCATTTTATAGATTTTGCTTAAAACTAGCTCGCGAAAAGTACCCCTAAGTTGCTGAACCACCCACACACTTGAACTTCAACAAAGAACAAACACTAAATTTGATAAAACACTGCATGGAAGGGAAAAGTGGCCTTTTAACCAATTATTGTGCGTGGGATCGGACACATCTAATAATTTTAACCACATATCTTAAAATGCTTGGTCCTGACTGACTTAAACTCCCACTTTTGACCTTAACAAGGTGGTCAAAAACTTCCCTCCTAAGCAAAAAATCACCATTCGCCTTCTTAAACGTTCACAATTGGATCAAAGACGTTAAGAGGCTTCCTATCGTGGAGGAAGGGACATTAAGTAAAAGAATCCGCTCCATGCTTCGATTAAAGTGACTATTTTCAAATAGAATTAAAGTGTTAGCGTCGGTGAATACGTGGTGAGAAACGTTTAGAGGGCAAAAGGACCTCCGCAAGCGAAAAAGAAAATGGAGCAAAACTAGCACCGCTACGTACAAACTCTTCTAGCGTCAATCCGACAAGCCGTGAGTATTCCTGGACAATTGCTTGAAGTAAATGATATTTCCTTTCAATGAGGCAAGTTGGACCCGTTCTGGGGTCGGAATGTCGGGTTTGCTTTAACTTGGCGTCGGTCGAATGTTGCTTTGTAGACTCTCTGGTCGCCTCGGAGTGGTCTTCTGAGATGCGCTTGTCACCATCCACCTGGACAGCTCTTTTGAAGGGATCTGAAGCTAGTGAGATGTCAGAGTTGCTCTTTGATTTGGTGGAATCCGAGTAGCTCATGTCTGACTGAAAAAGTGCGCGGTGACTGCTTACAGGATCGTACGAGTCATCCACGTAATCATCTGTAAAAGACCAGTAAACACAGATTGTAATGCTTTAGTTACATTGATCCTTTATCACTTTTGGCTCAGTGTACGTGATATCTCTCTGTTTTTGTAACTCAACTGACTAAACGAACATGTTTGATCCTTTACGCAATACCGACCACGGATGCTTTTGGTTGCAAATATATTCATTCAAAGGAAAAAATTATCTGGTATTTTAGCAAACGCCCACTTACAAACTTTACTCTTATAGTTTTTTTTTCTAAAAGCTAACTTCAACTCTGACGTAACATTACGGTTTTTACTCTATACTGGTACGACAGCACTGCCTAAATTACAGCTTCTTTAAGTTCTTTCTAATAAAATTCAAGTAGGCAGGCAAAAAAAGTTTGTCTGTTAGTTGGACAATCTGCGAACTGAATCAATTTCTGTGTATTTTGCAAGTATGATGACTACATGTTGGACGTAGTAACCCTTTTAAGTTTTGCTCGTTTAAAAGTGCAATTTTTTTTAGAATCATGACCGATGTTAAGTATTCGACATGGTAATAAACACAAAGTGCGGTGTCGACTGAGAGTTGGCCCTTAAATCTGAAACGTACAAAGGGGAACATGACAGTGTCTAATGTCACCGCAGTGAATGACGGCCACTTTTTGTCAGACAAAATTTCCTGAATGTGAAGGTCGTGTTGAAACTGCTAAAATGCTTCTTTCAGTTCCATGGCTATCAACACAAAAGTATATGAGGTATGATAATAATTTTTTATTACTAAAGCGGCGTTACTTTAAATGTTTACACACTCTAGGAAAACATTTATCAAAATATCGAATTTTGTAGGCTTCTACACGCATAGGAAGCACGTGAACTGCAAATAAGACATTGCCAAACGGCTGAAGATCACAGTCAACACAAAATAAATTAGTCTTGTTGTTCAGCTGTTCTATTCTCATAGCTTTAAATAAACACCCAACCAAGTTATTATCGTTGACTGCATTAAAACAAAACCGTAATTTTTTGACTGGAAACGTCAAGGCCGCAACACCAACAACTAATGTCATATGACAAGACGCTTGGGGCAAGTTAGATGCATTCGACGAGGATGCCGCATCTTCATTCATTGCAGAGACTGCATGAGTCGCTTTTTTCGTCTGACAGATGATTCTAGCTGAGGTGAGGCCGGTAGTGGTAGGTCGCTCAAGCGGTCGAACTGTGAATAACTGTCTGCCATTAAACACCGTTGGTTACGTCTAACTAAAACTAGCGGATTAAGCAAACAGCAAAACCTTTGGTGTGGTATACTAATTACTCGGACACGTATTAGCATTTAACTGTGACGTAGGTAGCCACCAACTGGTTTGATATAATTCAACTACGCCTAAATTCTGATTTCCGTTCTGATTATTAGAATAACTGCACTTAGAAAGAGACAAGGTTCTCAGAAAGAATGCTTAGTTAGGTGGCCGTAAGATGCAGAAATGCTCGACATGTATGAGCAAAGTGTGCGCATGGCAACAGCGAATGCAAATAGCACAGGAGGTGAGCCAAGCTCGTACAGACTACAGCGGAGGACAAATCGCAGCCGCACAAAGCACGCAGGACAAAAACCAGCAGGCTAGAGTGCGTGCGTGTGTCAAAAAGAGACGATGATGTGCAGCTATGATTTTTCACTAAGTTAATTCGCTTCATGTGATTGGTGGCATGGGGAGATGCTGTGACCGTGTGTGCGAGTGTGGGAGAGTGTGTGTACATGCGAACTCTTCGAAGAAGAGTTCTTATAAAACTTTTCACCCAAGTCAATGCGATATTTCTCGGCTAATCGGAATACATCACTACTGCTGACTGGTTTTAATACACAGTTGTCAGTTGGTAGAAGCAACCAAATGTAAAAGTGTGTTGCTCATTCAAGTATTGATTGTACTGTCGGCGTGTGGGCAGATTGAGTTGGAGAAAAGCCGAAATCGGAAAATCTTGTAACTGAAGTGCTGGGTAGATGAGCTATACTTCTCACCATCCCTCCAGGCTTGTCACGAGCTTCTAACGGTCAGTTAATTTGATGGGAACCTCACCAATAGCACGAAGAGCTGAGACGTCCTAAGCACACACACACACTATTGACAAACCTTTCGAGATAACCGCATCATCTCGGGCCAAGTTCTGGAATGGCACCTTGCTATTCTGCTAGTGGAATCATTGGCGTGTTGATCATGAATAAATTCGTAGTGCTTAAATCGCAAGTTTATTTATCCAAGTTTCGTGACATCCCACTTACCTACATAATCGCATGACACAAAGTCACGAGTCACGAAATATTTGGCCTCTCCAAGTTTCAAATGATCGATCGAGGCTAAACTATGGGGCTCAAATAGGGTCAACTATTTAAGAAAACATGTGTAAGTGAAGTGAAAAGTACACTTTATTGAGGTTCAGAATTTAATAAATATTAGTGGCAAAATGGAAAATACAAAACTCATTCCTTCTCTTATCAAAGTAACTTGAGACAACACATCTAAGATTTAAATAACGTAATTAGAATACGCTGCATATAACATGATCAGAAAAATGCAATATTCGTTAAAAGTATGTACGGAACTTACAATGCACAGACTTATGTAATAGTTGCCTACATTTAAGCAATTGTGTCTGAATTCAGTAAATAAAGTCGGAATAAACTGCACACGATCAGCAAGGAAAACGTTACGTTTATTGCGATGTCATTGTGTGCGCGATCAGCACCACGCGCGGTGGTTGGCTCATTCTGTAGTTATTAATATCGGCGACCATTGGTGCGTGCCACAGACTGTAATTTCGATTTATTAGTAGGTAACTAATAATCAAACAGCGACATAAATCAGTATCAAATACATGGAGAAGTTGCTAACGATATTAACGTGGCCCTACAGTCCAACAGCACAGAATCACTTGCTGTTAGTTGTCCAAGGCAATGACTTGCGTTTTCAGCCTTACTTCACATGATTAAACCAGTCTCGTTAAACACGAATTTCAATCGTTTTTGCAGATTTTACAGAATTTTGCATTGTAGGGAATGTCAGTACAGCAAGGAAAAAACTCTGTAAAATTCCAACTCGATCAATCGCAGAAAGCCTGCGAATATATTCCACAAATGCATGTTCTGATTAAATAAATATTGACTTAAGAATATAATCGATGGTATCATTGTGGTATTGCATGATTGTATGAGGATAATGGTAATTTACACATCATTTCAAAAATTAAATTTTACTGATGTAAGCATCTTATTATGCAAAATCATTTAACACAATAACTTTGAAAACGGTTCGAAACTTGTGGATTGATGGTCGAAATAGGTATGTTCATTTCTAGTGGTTTTATTGCCCAAAGAGCACATCTAATTCAAAGTATGGAACCGACAATAATTGTGTTTTTTTAAAAAAAAACATATTTCTGATTTGACGTGAAATTCGATTAACGAATAAGCACTTGAAGATTTGAAATAGTAAAACGCTTTTCATTGATACCATTTCCAGTTTTCATAAATAAAGAAAATAACGAGACAAAGCTCTTTTTTAGCATTTAAATGCATTTCAGTGAATTTACCCTGATCGTATGCATCTGCCTTATTGACCAAGAGAGGTCAATTGGAGTTTGCGTGCCTTTCCACTGATAGCTGGTCTTTTAGATAATGCTGACAAAATTGGATTTAAAAATTGCATTGTAAAAAGCAATAAGTGAATCGAGTAACTGCCAGATTACTAACTGGTGTGACAGATGGCTTTTTCTAAACTACTAAAAGTTTGTCATCCCCACAAGTCAGAATGAAAAGCTGACGATTTAAAAGTAATGTATTTAGGTCTTGTACGGCTGCCTTTCAAGTGTTTCATTGCATAAAATCATGTAAAGTATGATTAAAAGTTACTGAATAATTACGAAGGAGTATTTTTCTTCATCCCGTATGCAAACACCAGAATGTTTTAAACTTCATCAATTTCCGACAGATTTTATTTGAAAAAAATTCCTCATCTGCCAATTATGGCAAAACTGGAGGAAGCCAAGGTTTGTATAGTAGCCTATAAATGTCTTTAAAGCCAAGTTCCTAATAAGGAAAAGGATTGTGCTGTTTCAGGCTCTGAAAGCACTGAAAGATTCTGGGCAAATGAATGCTGCAGGCACATCGCTCCCAGGGACAGTTGGGTTGCTACAAACGCAGCCAATTTGTAACCGGATAGTGTGCAGGAAAAAACATGGCAATGTGTTAAGTCAGGTTGTCACTGAAGCGGGGACATGAAAATCCAAATAACCATAGAAGTATCCATTGGAAAACTGTTTACAGGAAAGCTTGACAAAAAATCGATATCGACAGCTGGTCGGAATGTGAAGAATTGGGCATCGTAGAAACTCAAAAATTTTGCCATGCATTCAGTTACTCCTTTTAGCCAACTGCATCTTAACCACCATCTTATTTCCTCACCTCTTTCAGGCATATACGGGCCGCTAGCAACATCTCGCCAATAAGATTGTCCAGTAGGTATTTGACGATCATGACGGAATAATGAGGAAAGAAGTCCTGCAGCCAGAATATAATTATCAGCTAATAGAAAACCGTTTATTCCTCTCAAGATACCAGTGAGCCTTTTAGAAGTAATATTTGTTACTGTTTAGATTCTCTGTTTCATTACAGAGCGATTTCGTTGGTCGCCAATTCAGTTTTTTACAGTTTGATTATTTTAAAAGTTTACAGAGGGGTTGTGCTTGCTGTGAGTCGCAGGGCAGTGTGCCATGTCAAAATAGCATTTACATACTTCGATTTCTAGAACCGCATTTGCATTTTAGGTTCAGGTGATGAAGACTAACCGGGCAGACCTCCAATTGGAGGGATTTTTCAAAAATTTGCAATTAGTGACTTTTCTTTTAAGATGTCTTCGTGATAATAACACATAAACTCGGCATACGCTTCCGTTTGTTCAAGGTGTAAAAAGCCATTTTATTTTCGTGCCAATGTTTTCAAAAACTTGGAGAATGTCGTGTACACGCCACCCGGACGTAACCTCTTCTCCTCGGTTAACGCACGAGGAACATTGAATTCAGAGAAACCTAATGGCAGTTTGATTGTGAGCATTGTTACAACTCGTGTTTTGCCCAATAATCGCGTTATATTTAGCCACAAATTAAGCGAGTAGCATATTCGACGCCCCGCATTGACCAGCAGTAAATTTGTGAGTGAAGCACCAGTGTGGTGAACCAAATGCCAGGGCCTTACAAAGATTTTGCGTTGTGTGCATTCCGTGCGCCGCTGAGTGAGGAGTTGATCGAAGCCACACCGTGCCAGGTAACAGGAGGCGTGGTTTTGTTGGCAGACAAGAGTCTGCTTCGATTTGCGGATAATTATATGCGAGGCGAAGCAGTGCAGCGCCTACAAGTAAATGAAGACGTAGTATGCCTTCCAAATGCCGCAGAATAATAGCGTTCTTTAACGAGGCAGTCTTTCTCCCACAGAGCACGACCTACACCTCCCAAGGGCCAAACAGCTCAGCCACCAACACGCACAGACACTGCACGACTCAGACATTTGAGCTCTTTTTAAACTAACACGTGACACCTCAGCTTCTGATGGCGAAAAATTGTGGAATTTCAGCGTGATTATACAGTTTCCTATTTGAAGAACTACCTGAGGTGACGGCACACACCATGATCCGAAATCCGTTGAAGAAAAATGTAAACAGGAACATTTAGCTAGGAAATGCCTAGTGTAAGCGACTAATTTCGGAGTAAAGCAGGCACAAACCTTTGATAACTAGAAATTCCCCTATTCCTATCGATTATTTACAGCATCCTGGTGAGAGGACACAAGATCAATTACATCAGTCAGTTTCAAATCACGTGGTGTGTTGCATGACCCCAGCTTGTTCCCAATTACCGAAAAAAACATGTTAACATTGGCTTCCGCTTAACTTATCAAGTCGCGTGATCTGTGGAGGCATTGGTCATCCTAAAGACATCACGCTACATTTGCCGACACCCCCAAACTAACTATCCTCTTAATTCAAGTAGAAATGCATGTTTCTACCCTAATTTTGATTCGCCTAGGATTTTTCCCCGTGGTTTTCATATCACTAGAAGAGAAAAACGACGCTAAACATAACTGCTGACACAGAATGACTCGGTGGGAAAATAGTCCAGAAGAAGGGGAAGAGAGAGGGTGGAGGAGAGGACGGGTATGTGGTGCAAAACACTGCGAGGGCGAAGCGGAATGTGTTCTGGAGAAGTACAAGGCCTGCTTTCCTATCGATAAAATTAAATGCATTAAGTACTTCGTATGAAAGAGCTCAGTGCAAAGGTCAAATCAGCGGAATGGAGGCGTCGGAAGAGGGGGAAGCTTCCACTCAGCGCGGGGAATCCCGGGGCGAAGATTGGAAGGGTCTTCACCACCACCCTCCGACGATTGGTTGTGGCTTTGTGTCGCTGAATGAGAGGATGTCGGTGGGAATAACGGTGTGGATGTGGAGGAAGCCGAGGTGTTGCTCTGTGCGACAGTCAGCATGCACGAGTTAACCTCCTTAAGAGCCTGAAGGAGACGCAAGGGCTCCCAGTCGCCGGCTTGAAAACGCGGGTCGCTTGCCCGGAAGCTGTTGGCGTTGCGCGAGACAGAGTATTCTTTGCTTCCCTCCGTCGCCTCCTCCTCCCCCTCCTCTTCGCCTCCAACCTCCATTGTACTGTGTGACGAGGCGGGTGAGGTTGCTGCTGCCACAGTTAACTCGTTGATGAGCTAAAAGGACAAATCAGAACGTTGTACTACAAACACTCTCTGAGCGGTCATATGTTCGCAAAAAAATCATAGCAAAGAAATACAAACCACGAGGTGAGGTTATTTGTGAGAACGCTCTTGTGTTTATTGACGAAAGTGCAGTCAAAAAGTCAAGATCTTCCAAAAATTACGGTCTCGTCGCATTTGGTCTGGCACCGATTACGAAGCAAGTGCGGACGTGGGGTTAGGTGTGTCCCAGTCCGACCTCCGTTTAACTTTCAGATTGTTGTGAGTCGTGTTTATTCACACCCCTTAATCCGGTCGCTCCACCTCCGACACAGGGTTCCCCTTGCCGCAGCATGGCGCCAGCCACTCGAATCCTCAACTCCACCTTCATTCACACGAATACTTATTTTGGATTATCCTCACACCTAGGTCTCGATGTTAGCGCAGTTATGACTCACACATCCGAGCTACAAATACACACGCGCAATCCCCACACACCACCACGGGTGTGGCAAGTTCTCGAATAAACGGTTGACTCCCTGTCCTTCCACCAACTTCATCTTTGTTGGGTAATTAGTGATATATGGCGTCTCAACAAGATAAACGCTTGAGAAATGAAATGAGAAGCTTGAGCAACTCACAGCGTCATAGCACCGAGTGACATGATGCGTGTACAACTCATACAGAGCCCACGAGACATTGAATTCGGTCTTGTGATTCTTTGAGTGCTGACGAAGAGAGAGATTCATGTCTCGTTGTGAAACCGCGGGCATGGCCTTAATTTCTGCAAAGTATTTCTTAACGCGTAGCCAATGTCGCTGCAAAATACAAGGAATAATCACTAATAAGATAGAAAATAGGTAATTTCAAACTAAAATATTTTTTTTCCGAATCGAATTTCAGGGCAGCGGCAAAGAAATATGTTTAGATAATTCACATCGAGTGATTTAAGCCTCCTAGCCTAGTTTTCACCCGCGCCGAGCAAAAAAATTGCTGTTAATGATGGCATCTTCAATGCATACCAAAATTGGCCTTGCCCATTGGCGTTGGAACAAATTCTGTTATTTGAAGACTATTTTTGGATAAAAAATGAAGCTTTTGGTGGTTCCCAGATTGCATAAAATAAAATGCGACAATCAAGGTGTACATGAACCTTCTCCAAGACAACCAAGAAGTTATAAGGTTCTTTTATCAAAACAGAAATTTATTTGCACAGTTCTGCTCTTATGAGGTTTTGTGTCGGTAACAGTAAACGCTTCGCCTTCAATACCACCAAATTGAAACAGACTACACTTGGACAATACGACTTTGTGGAAAGTGAGTGCTGAAAGCGCAAGTTGGATGGAGCAACGCTACCTCAATGTCGCTTGAAAAGAGAGCCTTGTTAATGGGCGAATCCATGGTAACTTTGTCGAGGACAGGCGAGCAGGCGTAGGTGAGAGCTTGACTGAAGGAATGAAAGGACCTCTCCAGGGCAGTGTTCCGCAACAGCGGAATGTCAAAAATGTAATCCAGATTGATAAGAATCTGATTCCAGAAGCGCAAATATAAGCTGCAAAAGTGAAAAAAGGAGACGGTTTTCCAATGTCATGCGACGAAACGCGCAGGGCCTCACACGGAGTGACCACCATTTGCCTTAAGGAAATCGTAAACTACAAAGTAATGTTTAATGTGACTGAAAAACAAGCCCCTATTCGAACCACACCTCACAATCACATACTACGAGGTGGGCAGATATGGTTAGATCAAGTCGGCTTGCAGGACACGCTAGGCTAACTCACCAGTTTGCCTTCCAGGCGTGCAAAATGTTCGGGTCACGGATCTCGAGTGCGTCGGCCTGCGAGTCGAGGAAGTCGAACAGAAATTTGATGCACAGAGGTGGACTCTGTGAGTCTCTTACCACACCAAAGATTAGCTCCACCACGTTCTCCATGTAATTCACCACTGAAACCTATCAAAACACAGGCGAGTAAGCAAACTATCACATAGAGCTTATACCACAAAATAACCACCTGCTTCGAAAATGCGGTTAAAACGATAAAATCAACTCTGCCAAATTGCTGAGAAGCCCATAAAGAAACCAGAGGCTTTTTTTCAGAATTCCCAGTGTGCTGTAACAGGCGACAAATGATTCTGAGGCAAAAGCCTAGAGTTTATAAAGACCCAGAGCGGATGCAATAGCTTACAAAATAAAATCATGGGTTATTGTCTACGAGCACAAGAAACGAACCCCACGTTAAGGTCATTTGTGTACAGAAATTACAATAAATTTCTCAAGCTTGAAACAAATTAATCTTGTGGTTAGTTTGAAGAGGGTAGTAAGTTTGAGGTCACCGTTTAGTTCGATAAAAAAAACCAAAACATTGTGGGTGTACAACAAATTTAAATGAAGACAAAAAATTGAAGTTTCGTTGGTGGGACTCTGCGTGGTCATCAACAGATGGGGGAAAGAGAGGCACCACGACTTCAGATGGTATTAACTTGGAGATAGGAAAAAACTGACCCGAGTTCTGAGCAGCCGGTTAAGGAATATCTCGCACGGGAGCTTTGCCATGGGTCGGTCCATCGCGTCGGAGTCGTCGCCGTCGTGGAGGAAACTGCTGGCCAGGTCTGCGGTCTCGAAGGTGGGCGATCCGGCGCGCAGCACCTTCGAAGGGACCTTGCGCGGTCGTTGTGGGTGTGCGCGCGGCTGCGGGGCGCGCGCCGTGTCGGTCGCGAGCCAGTGACGCAGACTCGCTGCATCCAGGCAGGGCTGCTGCTGCTCCTCCTCCTGCTGAGGTCCTGAAGCCGCGCCTTTTGAAGGGATGCACAACGAGAAGCTCCGGTGACCTCGACAGCGGACGAACGACCGACGCGCGCTCGGACACGGAACCTGGCGACCGGGTTTGTTGGACACCTCGACCAAAGCAAAACGCTTGGGGTAAAAAACCCACGAACACTCAAATCTGAAACCTTCAACCAGCAAAAAAACCGTGGAGCCATCGTCCACCCTTGCAATTTAACCGCTACCTACTGCTATTTGGGTGAGTAACACAAGAGGATATTGTAAAAGGACTTAAGCGATGTCACATCGTAGACAGTGCAAACCAAACAAGCTAGACTAAAGGAAACAAACTTTGGCAACAAAATATCACCAGCAACAGCATAGGTAAAGCAAACTTGTCACACCTGCAAGTCAGCGGCGTTGGGCCGTTCGAGGTGATACCAGTAGAGGGGGCTGGGAACCCCTGTGGGTCGAATGTGGGGGTGGGGGTGGCGGTGGTGGCCGTTGGGAATGCGAGCGTCTTTCGGTGAGCGGAGATCCCAGGCAGCGTTCGAGGGGGAAGTGGTGGTGTGGATGTCACCGCCGTCATTGCGATGCGACGCTGACGTGCCGCCACACGCGACCGGTCCGTCGGCACGCACCAACGCCACCACGTCGTTCTCATTCATCTTCCAGGAGGATTAGGGTTAGAGTTAACAGCAGAGCAACAAGGTTGGCATTGTAATCCAAAAGTGGTCAGTCTAGCATCGGAATATTTCATTGCTCTGGAAGGCTGACAGCCTGGACTAAACTCAGGAGATGATAAAACGAACCCACATCTTTTAAGATAATTTAAAGCAGCACATTTTAGTACAATAAGATGACTTGCTCAGTAAATATCCGCTTATTAACTGCAGGGAACATTTTGATTGTCTCAATTGTAAGCCAGTGCCGGCTAATACAGATAATGGTTAACATTGCTAAAACCATCACAAATTACCTTGTAATCGCTTAGGCAGTTGAGCCGATACGGTGGACCCTCAAGAAAGCCGTTGGAAGCGTCTCGTCGAATGTCCAGATCCCAATCCATCATCAGGAATTCGTTTGCCCGCTCAAAGTGATCTAAAATAGGGCGAAACTGGCAATGACTGCGGGTCACACACGTCCTTGGAGTTTTGAGAATCATCATCACACCACTAGAAGGTTAATTTGTGCAGGTTCGTCCAGGGAAAAATCAGACGGATTAATAATGAAACAATGCACTTCTGGATTTTTTTTATAATTATGCTTTATAAGCATTTCCTAAAACAGCGATTCCAAGTGTCCTAAAAGAAGTCTACAACTGCGAGCAGTCATGCACACGCAGTTGCCCCGGAGGCAGGCGGGCCCTGCTAAGTGTCACGAATGAGACCATTCGTGGGATTTGGTTTCAAGCCTTTCCTTCCTAAGTGAATTTTAAGTTAAAGTTGGAAAAGGATCTCGGTACGAGAGCAGCGTTTAAAGAACAACAATCTTGTCGAAAAATCACACACACACACTCGAAGACGATTTGAAACACATCTACTCAGTAAAGGTAGAAAAGAGTAAACCACTTACTCTCCGGGCCACTGGGATTGGTCCTGATTATCTTTTCTAAAAAAAGATAATTGCCAGTGTGAATTTTAAGAATCGATTTCTAGCTAAAAAGATAGCTTGTCATTAATGCTGCGTGCGTGCAAAATGTGAAACCGAAGTACGTCAAGGCGAATTCGCCAGATCCTAGCACACTCCTCTACCGCACTTAGTCCCGGCTAGGGCAAACACCTGCACAAGTGAAACGTGTCAGCAGCACCGTCCAGTGACCAACGCACGACGAGGCGACAGAAAGTCGACAAGAAGGCGTTTAGGTCGGTGGCAAAGCGAGGCGAAGAAATTGCTTGGGTGAGGGAAGGGAGAGGGGCCAACGCAGAACCACCAAACGGACAATGGCATGCGCATTGGCTCCAAAGAGCCGTGCCTGCAAAACCGTGAGGTCTACATCCAAGGTGCTGTGGCGAGCAACAAGGGAACAGAGCAATCGTGAGCAAGCATGATTCCACTGGTTTACGTGAATGTGCCTCGCGAACTGTGTTCGTTCGAGGGATCGATGTTCAGCAGGGCTGTAAAAACTGACGTGTTGTCTTGTACACCGACACACACACACTTTTGGTGCTATAATAAATTAGTTGAGCTACGTGCCATCTGCAGTTCTGCACCTCTTCCGGCCGGGCCGCGTCTGTGTAGAGCATTGGGCCCGGCGTAAGGCTCAAGGCAACACGCGAAGGCCCTCAACAGTGTCACTAAGGAATACGGTGAAATGGGATTGATAAAAAAAATTACACAACCGGGATTTCAACGTGGAGCTCGCTAGTTACGGGCATTGTTGACAGTGGAATAAGGAACTACGTACTTAGATGAACGTCAGTTGGACGAATCTGGTTTTTGTAAGGTGTGTTTCGGTAGATCGCGTCGAGGATTTTCTCCTTTGCCTGCGTGATTGTATCGCAGGACAACAAGCGCACCGGTAACTGCGTAGGGCTGAAGGGGCCGAATAGGCCCTCCGAATCGACAACCAGAAGTGTCTGAAGTAAGAAACGACACGCTGCATAAAAGGCTCACTGCACAGACTCACGTCTGGGTGCAGTCGTGAAGGGAACCGAAGTTCTCACGGTCTCGTCGAACCAGTGGACGCCGTGAATGCAGGAAAAACGGTACCAAGTTCTACAACCTCACAAGCTTTGGTTTGGCAGTGGCGTTGATGTTGCAAGTAATTGACCCTACACATCATATCTCTACTACTACACACACACACACACACACGCACAGTTGAGCACGGCTGGATGTTCTAGGCTAAATCAGAAACAAGTTTATCGGGAGTCCGCAAATACGAAACGAGATATCGCAATAAGAGGCGCTTTCAAGCGTCGCCCCAACGAAAAAGCAAGGCATTTAAATGACACACGCTGCAGGTAATGCACCTGCACACACTTACGAGTGTTCGAGCAACATAATCACTCTTGAGCAGCGTTCCCGCGTCGAGGGTGTATCGAGCGTGCCCCGTCACGGCGTCCTTGGGTCCCGTGTTGATCTGCTGGAGGAGGGCCCGATAGAGGATGAAGAGGTGCTCCGCTGCGTGCTCGTTTATGAAGTTGTAGAGGAGGAAGGTGAGCCAATTGGAGAGCAGCTTTGCAACCACCGACTCGGCGCGCCGAAACGCCGTCAACAGGCGACTGTCGCCCCCGTGGTCACGTGACTTACGCAGTTGATCGGCGATCAACAGCATGATTATTCTGTAAACATATTTACCGATAATATTTCATAAAATACACCTTATACTGACTGCATGTTAGTAGTTCATCTTACTGAGTGAAGTACTCCATATTGGGTTGAAGGATGATTGAGAGCAGAGAGGCAATTTGGGATTTGGCCCGGGCGTCTATATTCCGGTTGGACTCGATGGCTCGGACGAGCAGGCAAAGGAAATGACGGTTGCAGAGGATCCGGTTGAAGAGAAAGAGGCCACGATCTGCCGCCTCCTGGACGTTCGCCTGCACCTGCATTAACAGACGCATCAGAATGATCATCTAGCGACATTTTGGTCGAAAAAATCAGCGACTGAGTGCAGCTGTGACCGCACGGAAAAGGAGAAAATGTACACAGAATGGCAGCACAGTGGCAAACGTCTGGTGTAGATAAAGCGAAAAGCTACAAAAAGGCAAGTGTAAAATCCAAGTTCCCGATTCAATCGAGATTAATCTTCGCACAAAAAACGGTTATAACTACACACCAGACATCACGCAAGACTAAACACACGCGAGGTCCGACACGAGGCCTGAAGAACTAGATGTCACGGCAAGATTTTGAATTTGACTTTTTTAGTGAACGCGGCATCTAACTACTAAAAACCCGTGGTGATTAACGTTATCACTAATCTACCGACTCCAGTTGACAAAACGAGCATGCGAAACTTGCGGCAAAAGTCAAAAAAGACCGAGAGTTAAATGTAAACATAAGAAATAGTAACTTTCCTTAAGGTGGTTTTACGGACTGTGAGAGAACAATGGTTTGGCCCAAAAAAACCAACGGAAAGCCACACAACCGGCGTTGCATGGAAACGGAACGTAGGCGTTCGCTGAGCACCGAAATTCTAACTCGTTCACAAGCACAGTTAATGCAGAGGAAGCTTGCACAAGAGCTCGTTCCAACACCACCAGGTCGGCATCACAAGGTGGTTTAAACATCTGGCCAAATGGCAACTTTTCGTGTTTAGTTGGCTAATTGGTGACTCGGGAGTGCGTGGACACACGAAAATGTGGAAGCTGATGGGCGGAGGCCAGCTACAGATGGCGTGATAGACATGGCCGGAACGTCAAGTTGCCTGACAAACCGAGTACTCACATCGGTGTGATGACATAAAGCTCGTACAATCGTCCGGGACAAGCTTAGTGTAACAGAATCGTAGTGTGACAGAGTACCTGCTGTAGGCCTGATACGAGATGTGACGATTAAACCACTTTTGTACACATAAAGGGGGTCTTTTAACTGCTTGTTGTGAATCGTGTTTAGTCAACCCCTTAATCCGATGGCACCGCCTCCTACACAGGGTTGCCCTTTTTCGCAGCATAGCGCCAGCCGCGCGACTCCTCAATCCCCCATTCATTCACACGAATATTTGGATTACCCTCACGCCTAGGTCTCGATGTTAGCTCATCTATGACTCACGCATTCGAGGTATACATACGCGCAAACCCCACACACGACACAACGACACCAACGTGGCTGAGCTCTGAAGTAAACGGTTAATTCCGTGGCCTCGGCGTGGTGCAAGAGCACATGCTGGGGCCCATAACATGCTACCCTACCACCACGGGTTTGTCTTCCCCACTCTGCCATAATACTTGAGACACTTCAGGGTGGCGTTCGAGATCCCCAGACGCCGTGGACAGAGACATACCTTGAAGGTGGACACCAGAGGGTGTCTGCAGTGCTCCTCCCCGGCAGCATCCGCACACTCCCAGGTCGCGTGGTTCGCCTTAGCAGGTGGCATATCGTGGGGATCCGTGGGCCTGACCAGGTTCAGGTGGTAGTCGGGGAAGAGGGAGAAGAGGCAGTAGGTCTGGTAATCCCTGACCGGGAGACTGCTCTTATTCAGGTCGTGCACCAACTCATCCACGTGTGTTTGCAGCTCCATGAAATCTATTCAATGAGACACGACAGATAGTCGCTAGTGATTTCAATGTATTGTTTCTGAATTGGTAATATTAACCTAGGGCTTGCACTTCACAATTGCAAAAGAGTGATTTTCAAGTTTCCCTATTAGGTGAAATTTGAGAGACTAACGAATGAGATCTGCCAGAAGCATGAGAAAATTTAAAAAAAAATGGTTACAGGAAACGAAGTCGGACGCTAAAGGAAGCAAACGGTTACTCGAGTAGTTTGAATTAGGGCAGTCACACACCGCTTTTGAAAGCGCGGGTAACGCATTTCTCTTGCTCTGCCCACCGAATTTTGAAGCGCTGTTGCAGGTCACGCTCGGTTCGCTTGGAGCGACACCACATGGCGAGGAAGAGACAAGCCACGAGGGTGACGATCCCCATCAACGAACTCGCCACAACGACGATCCGATCGCGTCCGCCTAAGGCCCCAAGACGCTTGAACTGTACAGTGCCCGGTCGAGAAGTTAGGTACCTGCCGATCTAAAGTGCGAAGACGACGAATAAAAGGTGGCTTGGGTGCAATTAGAAGGCGGAGCAAAGGCATACTCGAATTACGACAGGGCAGTCCTCGCCCTCGACGAGCTCCTTTTTGCTGATCTCGCATTGAATCTCGTCGGGTTTGATGACAGTCAGTTTACAGGTGGTGTTGGCTTGTTTCGTTGTAGTCGCAGTGGCGACAACGATCGAGAGCTCTTCCAACGCCTGCAAATCAGACACTTCGGCTAATTCCCTAAACTTGCCACGAAAGCGGAGCAGATGGTGGTCCTGTGAGTGTGCAGACTCCTCTAGAATGTGGTCAAAAGTCAAGTTCCCCCTCACTGGCTTTCCACTAGGGGGGTGCGGCGACGCGGGCGGTGTGAAGGGCTCAACCAGGCGGCCATCGGCGAATGGGAAGAACTCGGGATTTGGAAAAACCTGAAACCGCCAAACAATGCACTACATCCTGCGTGGATTGTGGTGTGGCGCGGTTTAATTAAACAACCCTTATGGAAGATCAGGTTACAATGAAGTGAGCATCTTGTTGGTCAGGTATCAAATAATGGTAGTCCTCTTACCGTCAATGTTCCGAACACAAGCAACTCCGTGACATTGTCCATAATGAATCCATACGAAACATCGATACTGCCTCCGCTGGCCCCATTACCGTATTCCTCACCATTTTCACTCGAATAGATTTTGGGCAAAATAGACGGATTGGTGATGGAACGAACGAGAGTAGTGGGTGGGCCATCGCTGACCACCAAATTGCCACCACGTGGAACCTCGAGCGATGGACTCACACAAGAAAGATGTCCGATCGTTGATTTGCAGGGCTACAAAAAGCGGAGAGGAGGGAGTCACTTCAGCCCAGCACGACAAATAAACAAGCACAACATTTTGTGAGGCAGCTTACTTCGATGTATTCCATGGAGTTGTAGTAGAACACAATCTGCGGGTCCTCGATCACGTCCAAGTACTGGCCGTAGATACGGAGAGTTGTGCCCCCGCTAAACGGTAAGCAAAGCTCATTGTTGGTAATGCAGAAGTTAGCACAAGTTACCCCTTGACGGCACGCCTGGCTCACCCGAGGAAAATCAAGGACTTTGAGACGGCTCTGATTGTGGGGTTTGGTGTGTACGTGAAGGTTTGAAGTGGCGCCCTGGTGAGCGTTTTATCGTTCAGTAAGTCAATGAAAGAGCGAAGCCCAAACTGAGTGCCGCCGCCTTCGGGGTCCGAGGCAAAATGCGGCAAGATGGAGCTCACGGATTGTGTCTGGCATGTTATCAAGTCCGGAAAAATGCTACAAAAGTGGAAGCAAGCATTGGCAATGCGTAGTTGGACATTTCAAGGGTTAGAGCACGTGGGGCTCTTACTGCCTAATTTCACAAATAGCGCCCTTTTGCAGACTACCGGTGTCCACACGCAAAATCACCGCCACCGAGGCACCGACGTTTAGGTTCTTGCCACGAATCCTCAACAGCGTGCCGCCAGCAACCGGGCCTCTCAGCGGACTGAATCCCTCGATCTTTGGTGCAAGGAAGGTGAATGGGAAGGAGGCGGTCTGTAAAAAATCAGAGGTACGCAAGGTCAAACCTATGCGGACATCGACGTGACGCCCCTGCGGGCTGCCCCATGCTTGCCTGGTTGTCGGCACCTTCCAGGCGCATCACAATGCGACACGGGAGTGGAGTGTCCAGTGGCGGGATCCGCGATGCAGGGAGTAGGCGGCAGACGACCTGTCGAGATGGCTGAAAGCCCTCTGGCAACACGATGCACGGTACCGGCTCTAAGGATCCGCCTTCAAAAAGTGCCTGGATTTTCACCCTCTCTGGCTGATCACCCAAGTTGACCCCGCGGATTTCGAGTGGTGCCTGACTGCTTAAAGTTGCATTTTCTGGTAATATCTGAACATAAAAATAGGCGGCTTTTATGAAATCACTAATTTCAGATGACTACAGCACAACACATGTTTACAACACTGACAGAACATGACAAAGTTCAGCATTCTGATAAAGTGTAGTAAGAATGCAAACCACAGGCCAACGGTTGTATTGAATAAAATTCGAGGTTGGTTATAAAAAGCAAGCATCAAGATCCATAGTTCCTTTTTCATTCACTTCATTAGCAAATGATGCAATGCCAGGAAATAGAATGAGACGAAATTTGTCCGAAGCGCATTTCGCTTTGAGGGATTGACGGCTGATGGTCTATGCCTCACCACACCCTGTGAGAACATTCGTGACCCGTGGGAAATAGTGCTCGCCAGCAGACAACTTCAACCACCGAAATAATACCACAAGCACTCATTTCGAACTGGCAGCATACAGGCGACAGACGAGTATGGTGGACACATGCTAGCCAATATTTGCTTCCGTCAGCTAATCATGGAGTCTAATGCCGTCTAAACCATCTTCATCATTGTGCGGGTAGTTGTGATAACGTGCAATTTCACTGTTCATTGGAGCGTAAAAGAAAATTCACAGCTAGTGAATTCTACTTCGAAATACCACAAATTACCGATCTTCAAAGACCCACTCTATTATATTTACCGATGTACCTAGCTACTACTTATGAAGATCCCAGATTTCAGGTTTGTTCAAGGTCACCGCCCTTTCTAAAATGCGGCCCATTTCGCGCGGTGATACAATGTAGCCAAATCAGCGGCATTGGAACACGGAAAATCAAATCCGCAGCTCATTTCACATGTCTACTGCCTATTGCCGCTAAAGGTGGTTTCTGAGCGGCCAAGGAAATCGCGTAACGCGGCAGTGGAAATTAAAACCGCAGGAAAAGCTTCCTTTCTGGGAAAGTGAAAGGCATACGTGAAAATACAACAAAAACACAAAGCACTAATATGCACCTGCAATATACGCGGGTTATTGCAAGATGCAAATGGATGCTGAAGCCAAGTGCCAGAGGTCTGCAAGCACCGGTCAGAACGGAGACAGAACGACTCGACGTCCGCTGCACTCGAACGGCACCACCCACATCCGAAGCGCTGCGGCAGCGCCAGACAGCCGTCGCAGTAGACCGCCATTCGACTGCAGTCGAAGACTTCAACTTAAGGGAAGGAAACAACAGATGCATGGGGGAAAATCATCGGTGAACAATCTCCAGGATCATGCGAAAACCTAGCCGCCTCTCTTCCAGGCTGAAAACTTCGAATTGTGCACTAAACCACGATTTTGCTACTTCCCGACGCGTTTCAGGCTTATTTACATTTTCAGCCACCACCTTTCTTGAAAATACCAGTAGATGTGTAAGAGGATGAGAGATAAAGTTTAGTTTATACACTACAAAGTTAGGAGTTACCATATGCATGAATGCACTCGGTCTTCGCAACACCCAAATTTTCAAAACTAAGTGCTTTTGGAGTAATGCAGGGTTGTTTCCTACAAACGAAACATTCCTCTATAACTTCACACAAGCACATGCATTTGGCTTTTCTATTATAATAACACTAACTGAGGCATCATTATATGCATTGATCAAATGGCTAAGTAGGAAGAAAATACGTTTTTCATTAATCAAAAGTGGGAAGAGAATCAAGATCGTTGGGACAGTGGAATCGATAGGCACAACAAGGCATAATGTAGATTGAAACCACATTGGCAAGCTGTCGCTAAGCGTAG